GTCTCTCTCTCTCTCTCTCTCTGTCTCTGTCTGTCTCTCTCTCTCTCTCTCTCTCTCTCTCTCTCTCTTTCTCTCTCTCTTCTGGTGCTGTGGCATCATAAACGGTCATCTATCCCGACAGCGTGCATGAACTCAACATTCGCTCGGGGGTCCTTGAAAAGTGCTGAAAGTGGGTTACTGAAATGTCCCAGCAGGAGTTAGTTTAATGGCAGGGCCAAGAGGGTTAAGCTAAAGTGGTTTTATTTGTGTACAATGGTCTCTTCAAATTTAAAAAAATAATTATTCAGTTAAAGATACAGTTGCGAATATTAATCCCTGATGTCTGTTTCAAATCCGACCCATGAAGAAGAATTCTACCGCAGCCTTAGTCTTAGTCCCTAGAGCCCCGTTTACCTACAAGATCTGTACTCCTGCAAAAATTCTTCTCATTGTGGCTATCGGCAGACACAGTTTTCCCTTTTTATTCCTTGCCATTGCAGTGCAATTGACTAGTAGTCAATAATAATGGATTAGTATCGCACATATCCATGCTCTAAGGCACACAAAAGGGTCCTGTTACTGGGAGGGGTATGCGCTGTTTAGATGCAACATATTATTATCATTTTAATATTTATTGTTATAGTATTATCATTATCATTGTTTTGTTATTTTGTCATTATTATTGTCAGTACTGTTACAATTGTGAGTTGTTGTGACAAAATGAGTTACTTGAACTACTCACCATCCACAAATGGAGATATTAGCCAGAAACCGACACTAGGGTAAAACTTGTAGACTTTCTATTGATGCCATATTCTTTAACTGTAACAGGCTCTTTATTATTTCATACTTTTAAATTGTTAAAAACTTCACCTATAAGTGTGATGTATCTATTTCCACAGGACTCAAATCCGAGATATAACTCATTTTGTCAGCACGCTTCACAATTATTGATTGTTATTAATGTTATTATCATGTCGCATATTTTTGTAATTGTTATTGTTGTTGTCGTTCAGGCATCGTGCGCGGAGTGGACACGGACAAAGGCTTGCTGTACGTGGTGACCACGCTCCCGGCCGTGACCTTACGCAAGGTCAACACCGTACTCAAGGGCTCTCTCACTCTGCCTGATCAGCTCATTCTCAAACAGGTACATCGGTGGTTGACGGGTGCTCTCGTGGGGTTTGCTCCTTATTTCCTATCAGACGTCTATCGTCCTGATCTCCCTTCCTCCTTCTGTTTTATGTTTGTTACTCTCTTGTAACTCCTCTAACCTTCGGCACTTATATGTATGACCTTATTGTGTTGAAAGTGCTGTAAAACTCTTACTGAACTGAAACAGGTACAGTCAATATTGTCCGAGATGGCCACCCGTTTGTCGAAGAGAAAAGAGGTTGTCTTAGACAACTGGATATCCTGAACAGTGTCATTTATTATAAGATAGATAAGATAGTGGGTGGTTGGCGGGTACACTGGTGTGGTTTGTTTGTTCTTTCCTATCAAACATCTATCGTCATTATCTCTCCTCCTTTTTTATGTTTGTTACTCTCTTGTAACACCTCTAATCTTCGGCTCTTATATGACCTAATTGTGTTGCGAGTGCTGTAAAACTCTTACTAAAGCCAAACATTGTAAGAGAGTGCACCCACTGACCTCTTAAATGATCTTAATTGTGTCGATGGGGGCGTAAAAATTTTGCTGTAACATTTGCTTTTGCGCCCTGCTTCTGTTTCCTCCCATTTTCTGTGTCACTAAGATTGAGCCATGCGTTGCCTGAGCAAATATTCCTCACCCCCCGGGGCAGTGCCACTGACTGAAGTGTCTTTAGGCCATTCCTAAAGGGGGGACATTTCTCGTTCATGCACAGTAGAATTGTAAATGGGCTGATTCATCAATGTCACGCTCATAACTGTGCCTGATCTACAACAGGGAACTGCTGCTTTTTCTTTCCTAATCCTTACTATCGTCATTTTCCTCTACTTCTGTTGTATCTTTGTCACACTCTTGTGACCCACTATTTCCGGGGTGCCTTGATAGTCGAAGCAGACTTTGTGCTGTTGAAGCTAGAGAGGTGAGCAGAGTAAGCCTGATTCCCTGTAAGGACTTCTCTGTTGACATCCATCCTTTGGCGCTCAAATGACCTTATGCAGTTGCGAGAGCCGTAAAACCTCTACTAAAACTAACTAAAGATTCCTCATGTTTCTACAGAAGGGCACGGGTTCCCTCCCCTACGTCGACGCCCTGGCCCCGTCGACAGCCGTCAGCTCTCTGAGGCCCCGCTCCAGGATGCCGCGGAACAACCGCAGGAACAACTGACGGAAACGACTGATGGAAACAACTAACAACTGATGTAAACGACTGACAAAAACGACTGACGGAAACGACTGACAGAAACGACTGACAGAAACGACTGACAGAAATGACTGACTGAAACGACTGACGGAAACAACTGACGGAAACAACTGACAGAAACAACTGAAGGAAATAACTGACAGAAACAACTAACAATGACAAAAACGACTGACAGTGATGGAAACGACTGACAGAAACAACTAACAGTGACGGAAACTACTGATGGAAACGACTGATGATACCAGGCTTACCAACTGTTCCGAATTTCCCGGTACTATCACGGATTTGACAATCAGGAATTTAAGAGCCTTATCATATGTATGCACTGAAACCAGTCTTATTTTATGTGATTTTGTTAGTTGTTTGGTATAATCTTAGATTGTATGATTACGTTGGGTGTCTATGGTTGAATTTGGAAAAAGTTGTCAATCCTTTGTTACTATCATGGCTGCTCTGATTCTCCATCTTCTACATGACTGTCATGACAGAGTTTTGGGATTATATTTTTTGTATTTTTTGTTTTGTTCTTGCAATCTCAGATGTACTGACTGGCGTCTGTGGTGTAGCAGTTAGGTGCTTCTTTGGCGCATGCTGGGGACCTCAGTTGGATTCCCAATTGGGAGAATTTTTATTGAGTATTATGTTCTTTCTGCTAGGATGCTGTTGTATCCCTCTCAGTCTGGGTTGGCCTCAGCAGGCAGGATTGAAGACGGCCTACTACTAAATGATCTATACTGTGTTGATGGAGATGTAAAAACACCTACTTTTTTTGGTTTTAACAATGTACTGAACTCGCATTGTGAGTGTATTTTTGGGGGATTTTGAATGAACTGGAGGGTAACAAAAAAGTCCCCATCATATTTCTTTTTTTTTTTTTCTGCTGTTTGTTATTTGTTAATTTTGTTCAAATGCTCAGCATTTTGTTGTTGTTGTTGTTGTACCTTTCCAGATACATATAAAAAAATGTTTATTGTATTTTTTAAACTGGCAATTTCAGATGTCCTGAACTCACATAATACATGTGTGTTTTTTTGAGGATTTTTTTCTTAACTCGGTCATAAAAAAAATATTAAAGTTTATTTTTGCTGTTTGTTTTTTTTTAAAGTTATGTCAAAATGTCGAGTATTCTGATTCTGTGGTGAAAATGCAGGATTTTCTATAGAGAGTTGTACTCCTTACCTATCCAAAGTGTGGACATGTTGTGCGACAATTTACGCCAACTTTGCACGTTTTATTGTCATTTTGTTTAAGAATTTTTTTCCAAAATGCTGTAGTAAATTTTTTGAATTTTGCTCTTCTTTATGACTAATGAGAAATAATTGTGTGGATCGTTGCTCTCTGTGGAGCGGTTTGAATGTGACAAAATGTTTTTGTTTCAGCATTTTTGTGTGTTACTCTCTTGTAACACTTCTTCTAATCTTCGGCATTTATACGACCTTATTGTGTTGCAAGTGCCGTAAAACTCTTACTTAAACTAAACGATGCTCCCAATATTTCTGCTTTTTTTGTGTAATTCTCTTGAAGGGTTTTTGTTGACTTGGCAGCTTTTGTGCAGATGTGCCATCTTGTCAGGTGATGCTGTGTGTTCATGAGTTGTGTTAAGCCTATCCGTACGCCCTGGGGTCATTTTGTACCCCCGGGGTTGTATTCTTCACATTTTAGAATACTTCTAGTATGAAAATCTCTTTGAAACTTTCAGTATATCTCAAAAAATCATTTTGATAGACTGCTATGCAAAGCGTACGAGATCAGATTAACGAGTAAATTTCCTCTTTGGAAAGTGGTGGCACAGAGTTCCCCACGTTGTATGTGTACGATAGTAAAACACGACGTACGGATAGGGTTAAGTGCTGTGTGTGTTGTTTCTGTTAGTATCATGTATTATGTATTGTGTCTGGTTTCATGTAAGACGAGGAAAGATAGAGATAAAGCGTGGGAGGCTTTTTTTTTTTTAAAAGCAGACCTTTATGTTGTGGTTGTGAGTATGTTTTGTTTATTTGTGGGATCATGTGGTATCAGGAGAGAGAGAGAGAGAGATAGTCGAAGCAGACTTTGTGCTCCTGAAGCTAGAGAGGTGAGCAGAGTCAGCCTGATTCCCTTGGCGCTCATATGACCTTATGCAGTTGCGAGCGCCGTAAAACCGTACTAAAACTAAACTAAGTTGTGACAGCATGTGCTGAGAGTGGCCCACCATTCCACATTGTTTTGCTACAAGTGGAGGTGGCACTTTTCCAGAATTTTCTGGGATTCAATGAATGCTGAAAGTTTCTTTAAAAATAATTGTGCGACAGTTTTTTTCCACAGAAATGATTGTATGTTATTATTGTTAAATCAGCATTTCTCATGTTTGCCCTAGTAAGTTCCAGTTCCAGAGGTCTTAATCGATAAAGATGACTGACTGTCTCTAATAAATGTCTTAGTTGTGGCAAAGTTCACAGCTACGAAATTCTCAGTGGGGTTTTTTTTTTTGGACTCTGTTCAGTGTTAATGTTACACATTTGACACCCTACATGAATTGCGATTAATGTAAACTTTCCGAAATCTGGTCGTTTTACTGGCACCCTTTTATTTGTTTTTTATTTTTTATTATCCTTGTTCTGTTGTTGGAATAACTTGTTGACATACTTCATTTTTGTCATCTGTGCGGTCAGTGCTGTATGATGTGTTGTAGAACAAATCTATTTCCTTGATTGATTTGTCTGTTGTAAGATAAGGGTGAACCTATCAAATACATAAGTCTTGATTGTAAATGAGGACTGCAGGGGAAAAACGACTGTAATCACAAACTGAAAATCGTGAGGGTACCAATTTTGAACGCTTGTTGACTCATAACTGTATTTCTGTTCCACTGTTGATTGATTATTGTTGTTAGATTTCCCATTCAGCAACACTTAACAATAAACCACCAGTCAAACAAATATGAAGTTATGAGTCCACAAGCTTTTCAAAGTGGCACCCTCACAATTTCCTGTTTGTGACTACCGTAGTTTTTCTCCTGTGCTCTTCTAATGTCATTCTACATTGAGTTCATAATAGGCTTTTCACTTGCTTGTGACTTTCAAAATGTTCAATGATGTTTGTGAAAATGAGTGAATGGCAGTTGAGGCTCTTTTCACTAAGACTTGAGTTTCAAAATGGTATAGGATCCTTGTCTACTTTGTAAGATGTAGGATCTTTACGGCTGCCCACAAAAAAAAGTGAGTTCAAATTTTCTGTTTTGGGGAATTTTCATGTCTCTGTTGTTCTGCTGGAATGTTGTATCCCACCCAGCATGGGTCTGTCCCCGTGGTTTTATGCAAGAAATATTCTGAAATTATGCAAACTGAGCCCAAAAATGTGAAATTATGCTATCCCGTTAATTTTAACAAAAAAGGATAAAGGAAAATAATCAGAAATCATATATGCAAAAAAAGATCAAATTTTTCTAAATTATGCGGGGTGCATAAAACTGCGGGGACAGATAGGTTGGCTCTGACGAGCAGGCTAATAGCAGCCCGCCTCCTGAATGACCTAAATTGTGTCAATGTGAATGTTAAAACATCTACAATCATTTGTCATTGTAAAAGTTATCATCTGGCTGCTGCAAGACTGTAAAAAGTGGGATTGCCATTGGAAGTGGGAACAAATACAACTGTGGTCGTATTTTATAATGCAAAAATACGTCTCCTGTGGGAATATTATGCCTGATGGCAAAATAAATATACGTTGAAACAACAAATGACATTTTTTCTTTGTGTACTTATTGTATTTTGTTTCCCTAAGATATAATACATTATGTTCCTGTATGGTACAACAATGTAACTAAGGTATAATACATTATGTTCCTGCATGGTACAACAATGGAACTAAGGTATGGTACATTATGTTCCTGCATGGTACAACAATGGAACTAAGGTATGGTACATTATGTTCCTGCATGGTACAACAATGGAACTAAGGTATAATACATTATGTTCCTGTATGGTACAACAATGGAACTAAGGTATAATACATTATGTTCCTGTATGGTACAACAATAGAACTAAGGTATGGTACATGTTCTTCTCTGGTACAATTGTGGAAAAATAGACAGAAATTACATATCATCAAGTGTCACTAGCCATAATGACCCAAGTCAGACTGAGGCCGAAGTCATATGTGAGGCATCGTGGTGAAATCCTGCGCTCGTCAAAATAATGAATTCTGAGAAATCGGCAGTTTTCTGCCAGTTTGGAAAATATTTTCGAAGTTGTTTTTTTTGCCTCAACACCTTGTATGTTCATTCAAAAACATTTTTGAGAGTGGATTTTTTTTTTTTTTTAATTCGTTAAAGGCACAAAAAAAATGTAAATTTGCAGTTTCTAAGGACTCTTAAGCTATGGAAGTTACCAAACTTTGGCGGCCATTTCCTCGCTTATTTTACTTCTGAAACCAGGCGACCCCATCTCCTTCAGTCGCAAATGTCTCCACCTCTGTTCAAGATAAATGGATATTTTTTTTCAATGAAAACAAGGCAAATGAACAACCTTTAAGATAATACCGATAACTCCATATATTTAAAAATTGACGAGTACCTGATTTCACCGAGACGTGACACATATTGATCTGACTCTGCTTCCCAAAGATTTCTTTTCTCATAGCAGCAGCATACACTTACCCTTCTGGTACAAAATAAAAATAAATAGAAACTTTGAATTAATTTACATACATGATGATGATGTTTGTGCTTTGCAGGCGAAGATGGCATTTGACTTTACATCATGGGGGGGGGGGGGGGGGGGTTGCACAGAAGGCGATTACATACATATGTACAGTTTTACGGTCAACGTGATATGAGAACAGCCTTAATCAGATTTACGCCAAATCCAACAGGCCCAAAACGACATTCTTTCATACACGTGTACATTTGCCTGCCTACCACCTTGTATTGTACAGATTTTCAAGCTATATAAAACAGATATCATGTTTCCTCATAAAGCTATAGTTTAAATGTACTAAGCCAAGGAATCCAAATTTTTCAGGAGAGAGAAAAAAAACTATTTCATTCTTTTAACCACTACACCAACATAACGTATCTTTCCCTGCTTTCAAAGAAAAAAAAAGAAAAAATTAGGGGCTTTGTACATCGGAACAGCCGGCCGATAATTTTGTGTCTTGTACACAAATTATAATTAGCTGTTTGCAAAACATTAGAAATAAAATCCTAGCTTTCCATCCAATGGCTAAAATGTTTCCAAATTAAAAAGGGGACTTCAGCTGTGATACTGAAACTGGCAAAACAAAGACTCGTTTCTTTTTTTTTCTTATTCCCGGAATGTATTCAACACCGATGACACACTACTGGTCACGAGTCTGGAGCTCAGTAGCCGAAGTAGGCCGGCACTTCATCGTTGTTGTACTCAACGACGTCCACGTGTCTCTGGAGTTTCTGAGCGGCATGTCTGAGGAAACAAGTATTTAGTTTAGTTATAGTAGAGGTTACGTGATGCTCCCAACTGCATTAGGTCATATCTGTCCCCGTCGTTTTCAAGAAAACTTCTGAAATTATGCAAACTGAACCTAAAAATGTGAAATTATGCGATTCTGTTAATTTTTTATAAAGAATGATAAAGGAAAATAATCAGAAATTATGCAAAAAGTGATCAAATTTTGCTAAATTATGTGGGGTGCATAAAACCACAGGGACAGTCATATGAGCTCCAAGGGCTGGATTTCAACACAGAAGTCTTTACAGGGAATCAGGCTTACTCTGCTCACCTCTCTAGCTTCAACAGTACAAAATCTGTTTCAACTATCAAGGCACCCTGGAAATAGCGGGTCAAAAGAGTGTGACAAACATACAAAAGAAGTAAAGGAAAAATGACGATAGTAAGAATTAGGAAAGAAAAAGCTGCAGTTCCCTGTTGCAGTTCAGGCACAGTTATGAGCATGACACTGATGAATCAGCCCATTTACAATTTACAATTCTACAGTGCGTAAGAACATATTAATGTCCCCCCTTTGGGAATGGCCTAAAGACACATCAGTCAGTGGCACTGCCCCGGGAGGTAGGAAACAAGTATGGACATAAAATATAATATATTGCAAAAATGTCACTTTAATTTGATAAAATATCCAATGCAGTGTCCTCTTAAGAAGTACAGTGGAGTCCACTCTAACTCAAATCTGCAGGAACATCAAATTTTCTCTGGCTTAAAAACGTTCCTCAACTCTTTTATCTCCATAGGGGGTAAACCCACTATGCTGGGAATCTATTTTGGTACAAAATCTAAAATTGACATTTATGCCACTAAACTGGTCTTCAAAATAAAAAAGTGAACCTATTTCGATAGTTCTTCAAAGAATTATCTCCCGGTAAAAGAAACCTGTATTCGGCAATTGCCGAAAAGTAATTTGACATCGAAGTCGCTGTAAAGAAATGCTGCTGAACCCCAGTCAGTATCTCACCGGCTCAGCATTTCCAACCACGAGCGACTGGGAGTGGCTTGCCAGAGATAAAAAGTTAAATGGAAGAAAAAAAAATAGGGATGTCATTTTCTTTGGTTTACCAGTGTTGCTGTCGTAGGATTAGCCATGTGTAATTTAAGTGGACTCCACTGTATTAAATGTGGCACATGAATTAGCACAGAAAGAGCTTAAGACGGAAATGTAATTGTTAGGCGTGCTGACAAAACGAGTTACTTCTTCCCATCCACAAATGGAGATATTGGTCAAAAATCGACACCAGGGTCTAACTTGTAGATTTTCTATCGATGCCACATTCTTTAACTATAAAATGCCTTTTATTATTTCATACTAATAAATTAGAAAAAACTTCACCCATAAGCAAATTGTATCTATTTCCATAGGCTTCAAATCCAAGAAGTAACTCATTTTGTCAGCATGCTTCACAATTACTTCGTCTGACTTACTTGGTGATTTTCTTGCAGTACATCATGTTCAAACACTTGAGCTTCTTGCAGCCTTTCCTCAAGTACTTCAACGCTTTGTCGCTGAAATAAAAAAAAGTAGGACAAGATATAATTATCTGAAAGAAAGGATTCATCTTCTCAGTAGACACCTTGATGTCGTGTCAATGAAAAAGCAATTTACACGAATTTCCCACTCGGCTCAGTCCTTTCAGAGATGGAAGTCAAATTGGGAGGTCTCACCTCTTATAACCTGTTAGTGTTGACAGGGGTATACCATTTCACCATTTTTTATGTAGACACTAAAAATGGGTAACTTGTCATACTTGTATGATCCTGTGAGGAAAGGAGACAAAATCTCCCATCAAGGACCAAAACTAACAAACATTCCTTTTTGTTTCAGTTAGTGTTTTACAGCTCTCTTCTCCATTAATTTTCTGAAAATAAAAAAAAAATAAAAAAACTTCAGCGTTTGAGGAATCAACCTCAACAATAAGCTATCATCATACTGTGTGTGACCCAAAACTGACACTGACGATATATGGTCTCTTTTAAGGACAAGCGGGCTAACCCAGATTTCGGGGGTTTCCAGAAATCTTGACCTACACCAAAAGTGGGCATTGCCTTACCTATAGGGGAAGTTTGCTTTCATTGGTGTGTATATTTGTTTGGTTATAGAGAAAACTCTCCTTGTACTTAAAAAACTGAACTAGGGGCAAAAACTTTACCTTTGATTTTCTCAAAACAGCATTTTTCGGGATAGCCCACTTGTGCTTAAAAGCGACCATATATGTTATCATCATACTGTATGTGACATGACAACTGACCTGATCTGTATGCATCCACTGATGTCCAGCTGGGTCAGATAGTGACACACACCAGACAGGTACTGGATGCTCAGGTCCGTCACCTACACACACACGGAGAGACATGCAAACAACATAATCCATATGTGTCACGACGTAATGGAATCGGGCGCTCTTCAGTTTTTGGGCATGTAGTGTTATTGGTATCATCTTAAAGTATGTTCATTTGTCTTGTTTTTTTAATGAAAAAAATGCTCATTTATCTGGAATACAAGTTGAAATATTTGCAATTGAAGGAGGAAGGGGTCGCCTGGTTTCAGAGATAAAATTAGCGAGAAAATGGCCGCAAAAGTTTAGAAACTGTGGTTTATAATTCGCTGTGATCACCAGACAAGCCAGAATCACGTGAAATAAGTGAACAAACTCAGTGTATCCTAGTGAGTGTAGGAGAATAGGGGAGCACAGGGGGTATATAAACAGACGGCGAAGGTTAAACCGGCCTTCCGAGCCACGACTAAAACCTAGTCTGAGCAGGGATCGACGCTACTGGTGGGTCGACACAGTGGATGGAGCTCCGGACCTGTACGACCCACACTCATCATTCCCCGCTCGAAACAGTGAGTATTGAAACCAACGTAGATAGACTAAGGAGTAGAATCTAGGATTAGATAGCACTTATCATCTCATTACAGAAACATAAATAGCTTTAGAGTAGGGCCTACTTGAAAACTGAAAATTTACATATTTTGTATCCTTAATCGACGTTTTTCAGTACAATTCACATGGAAATATATTGTTTTATGGACATAAAAGGTATTAAGTCAAAACCCAAAAAATTAATAAAAATAAAAACAACAAAAAAACACACACAGAAAAACAGAAAGACATGGCTAAGTAACAAATCAAGGTGACCTAGTTTTCTAATCAGACGGTGTCACTTGTACAGGAAAGGCTACAAACCCTCAATCCTTAAAAGCACTCCCCCCCCCCCCCCCCCCCCCAACCCCAACCCCACCACCCTCCCACCATCCCCCATCAAATTTATTTTTTTAAAGTACGGATATTAATTATACAAACTCACATGTTTACATCCGGACAGGTTGAGAACGGTGAGCATCCGACAGCAGAACGCCAGGTTCTTGATGGCACCATCAGTCAAGTTCTGGAATTTAAAAATCACATGTCACTTCATCGATCCAGGATGCATACAGAAAATATCAATCTGAAAATGAGACATGGGTGGTTGGCATTTGCTCTGGTGAAGTTTGCTCTTTTTTTTTTCCTATCAATCATCCATTGCCCTTATCTTTTCCCCTTTTTTTTATTTAAGTATTACTATCATAATACATATAATATTCGGCACTTAAATGATCTGTTTCTGTTACAAGTGCCATAAAACTCTTGTTAACTCGAAACTTAAAGGGTGAAATAATGAAGAACATTAAACAGAAAAGGATGTATAAGCATTGTTTTAGTAAGTGTTTTACGGCAATTGCAACATAATAAGGTAAAAAAAATACGGAAGATTAGAGGTGTCGCAAAAGAGTAAGAAACACAAAAAAGGAGGGGAGATAAAGACGATTGATGCTTGATAGGAAAGAAGAAGCAGCAAGCAAACCACACCAGAGCCCCCGCCAATCACCCACGTATAAGTATTGAATGAAGGCCTAACATGACAAACTGTATATTATATACTGTCCTATTTCCTCCTCCTTCCCCAGTTACATGACCTGTGTTTTGGTCCATACAGTCACTACAATACATGTTAGCAGGGACGGAAGGCAGGAGTGACTGGAGGAGAAGAGGAGATAAAGATATAAATAAAGAGAGAGAGAGAGAGAGAGAGAGAGAGAGAGAGAGAGAGAGAGAGAGAGAGAGAGAGACAGAGAGAGAGACAGACAGACAGACAGACAGACAAACAGACAGACAGACAGAGAAACAGAGAGACAGAGAGAGAGAGTCTGACAGACAGACAGAGATAGAAACAGTGAGACAGACACAGAGATAGAAACAGTGAGACACACAGACACACAGACAGACAGACAGAGATAGGAACAATGAGACAGACAGACACACAGACAGGCACACGCACAGAAGGAGAAACACTACAGATGTAAATGCAATCCTCATCATCCACATGCTCGTATGACCTTATGCAACTGCGAAAGCCGTAAAACACTTACCAAATCAACAAACAACAAAAATCCTCACCATGCAGTGTGAGAGGTCCAGCCTCTCTATTTCCTTACACTGTTGAGCAAACTTCTGCAGGCCCAGGTCGGTGATGCTCCCACTCTCGGACAACACCACGTCCTTCAGGCCCGAGTTGTGACCCAGCGCAGACAGACCCTGACCACGACAAACAACAATGACATCATCAACATCATCATCATCATCATCAACATCATCATCATCATCATCATCAACATCATCATCATCAACATCATCATCATCATCATCATTGTACTGAAAGCTCCATGGAAAAAGGTCTATATGCAGAGTAAAAAATTAAACAAAAAGCAAAGAAAGGAAGTGTGTTCAAGTTTCGCACCCCATCACATGGTTCACCAATATATAGCTTTCTTTATTCTAAATTTAGGCTTGCACTTCTGGTCAGTCTGTTTCAAATGAAAAATGGTTACTTTTTCCATTAGGCTATAGTCTGCTTCACACAAAAGAAGTGTTTTCGGTCACGAGAGCAAAATTTTCCATACACCGATACTGTCGGCGATAGGGTCGGAGCATTACACGCGCATACTGATATTATTGGCATTAGGTCTGGGTGAGTTAATGTGGTCGCTTTTAAACACAAGGGGGCTATCCTGAAAAATGCTGTTTTGAGAATATCAAAGGTAAAATTTTTACCGCTTGTTCAGTTTTTTTTAAAGTCCAGGAGAGTTTTCTCTATAACCAAACAAATATACACGCAAATGAAACCAAACTTCTCTTATAGGTAGGGAAATGTCCACATTTGGTGTTGGTCAAGATTTCTGGAAACCCCCGAAATCTGGGTTAGCCCGATTGTCGTTAACTCTTTGAACCCCATCGGACGCTGGGAGTATCCAGTACTAGTGACAACTGTTTCGTTTTATTTAGTGCTAGTTTTTGCTTGTTTTTCGGAACTGTTCCCGAACCAAGTTTTTTTAGTAATGACTAAGCCTCTGTTTCTGTTATATAGAAGTTGGAGGCAAACTTTTGGGGTTATAATGAGACAAAGTGCACTAAGTTTAGGTGACTGCTGAAAAAAATCCGGGAAACGGTAGAAAAAAACTCAAAGCTTAAAGAGTTCAAAGCAACCACGTGTAAACCGTGTACCTGGTCCCCACAGTTGCATCCACTGATGTCCAGTGCCACCAGGCTGTGGATCTGACCCAGAAGCTCGATGCCCGCCTCGCTGATGTGCTCGCAGAAGTTCACGTTCAGGTACGTCAGACTGTGGCACCTGGCCACCACAAGAGGAAAGCAAAGAATTCAGTACATAGAATATTGTAACAACAGGTAAGTTTGATGGAAAGAGAGGCAGACAAAGGGAAAAGATACTGGACTGAAAAATTGTTTTTAAAAAGCTCAAGATCAAAGACTTCCTGTGCATTTTTAAATATAAACACATAGTCTTCTCCCCTCCCCACCCCTCTCCCTCCCAAAAAAGGAAAAAGAAAACAAGAAAAAGAAAGAAAGACCCAAATATTTTTACAAAACCCCAGCTGATGACCAAAGAAGAAGAAGATGTGTTACCTCTTGTGTAAGTTGACCATAGCCATGTCTCCAACACGCACACAGTTAGTCAGGTTGAGTTCTCGCAGTTTGGAGGCGGCCGGACCCTCGGTCAAGTGGCGGACGCCCGCGTCGCTGATCCTGGGGAGAAAAAAAAAGAAAAGTCACACATTGTCTAAGACAGCCACCCATTGTTGGCTATTCGCGATCTCGGATCAGTGCTTTCTTATCGGATCTCCATTCTTTTTGACATTGAAAGTGTGACTTCTTCTGCAGCTCACTCTTTGTTAGGAACTGTTTTCACTCTTTAAAATATATGGAGATAGGACAAGAAAGCTCTGATAGGTCCCATATTCAAAATCTCTGTTCTTCTTTAACTTATCTGCATAAAAACAAACACCAAACTAAGTAGAAATGAATGCTCTATGTAAAAATCACACAGCTTAATTATAGACATGTGGATTTGCTGACGTTGGATTTAATGAGAATGAAAAAATATGCATTTGTCTTGAATACAAGTCAAAATATTTCCAATTGAAGAAGGTAGGGGTCACCTGATTTCGGAGGTAAATTTATAGAGAAAATGGCCACCAAAGTTTGGTAATGTACGTCTGTAAACAACTGAGCCATGCCCCATGTGCCAGCTGAACCTCTGGCAAGCTGTATGATAAGACTTTAGCTTTAAATCACTCTGAATACTCCATACTTAAGGAAAATAGTAAATCAATAAAAGATCCTTTTTTAGTTTTAGTAGAGGTTTTACGGATCTCGCAACTGCATAAGGTCCTATGAGTGCCAAATAAAAGATCCAAGAGCCACAGAATATCACAAAGAACACAACAACACTGACCGCAGTCGTACCTGACACAATCAGCTATATTCAACACCACCAGGTTCTTGCACGCAGAGAAGGCCTTGAGCGTCGCGTCTGTCAGTCTCTGGCAGTCTGCCAGGTACACGTGCCGCAAGTCCAGGCACTGGCGCCCCAGGAGCTTCATGGTCGCGTCGGACACTCGGTAATTACCTGGCGGGAAATCGCTGAAAGACTCAAGCACTGTTTCAACACTAAGTTTAGTTAATGGCAAAATTGATAGCAAACTCTTACCCTCTCTCTGACAAATTATGATGATGATGATAGTAATAATAATGATAATCATTCTTCTTCTTCTACTTCTTCTTCTTCTTCTTCTTCTTCTTCTTCTTCTTCTTCTTCTTCTTCTTCTTCTTCTTATTATTATTATTATCCTAATTACATTTTCACTATTATCATTTTCATTGTAATTGTCATTATTATTACAACTACTAATATTATCATCAGCATTATCATTAACTTTATCATCATTATTGTTATCATTATCATAATTAATACTTTTTATTTTTTTAAAGGAGATTACAGTGTACCGTACCATCCATCTTGAGGACTTGTAAGTTCTTGTTGTGAGCCAGTTTCTTGAAGGCCTCGTCTGTGATCAGGGGACAGCCCAGCATGGACAGGGTGTGGATCTTGAGGCATTTCTCTGTCATGATCTGAACATTAACAAGGAAAGAGTTAGATTGGAACCCACAAGGTACAAGATCAAGGGGAAGACAACATGGAACCTGGAGAAGAGTCACGGAATGGATGTACAAAAAAGCGGGAAGACATGGAGTGACATCAAGAGACTCGCCCAGGATAGGGAAAGGTGGAAAGTGTTAGTTCGTGACCTGTATCCTGACCCAGGGTGAAAAAGGCATTGATGATGATGATGATAATCTGAACATAAAGCAAAACAAGCAGCTGTAGTCAACAAGCGTGGTTCAAGACAAACATAGCAATACTCTTAACGGTCGCTTTTAAGCACTAGGGGGCTATCCCGAAAAAATTCTGCTTTGAGAAAATCGAAGGTAAAGTTTTAGCCACTTGTTCAGTTTCTTTAAAAGACAAAGAGAGTTTTCTCTTTAACCAAACAAATATACACACCAACGAAACCAAACTTCTCCTATAGATAGGGCAATGCTAATTTTTGGTGTAGGTCAAGATTTCTGGAAACCCCCGAAATCTGGGTTAGCCCGCTTGTCCTTAACAGCGACCAAATATACCCAGAACATTTCACCAGAAGCACTGGAGTTTTTAACCGTTCCGAAAAAATATAGCTCAACAGTGTTCATTTAAACAACCCCTCATCCACCAGCCTATCCACCAAGTTGTGCACTTACCAAGCACAATTGACTCTTTAAATGTTTTTAAAAAGTGAAAAAAAAAACAACCAACAACCCAACTTTCTGGTTTAAATCATGAGAAAAAACAGAAAAGTTCACTCACAGTACTTTTATCATAAATTGTATGGAGCATACTGAGTCATGATTTTTACTAAGCTGCCTAGCTGTCAAGTAAGAGATAATTCTATGCTCTAAGAAGATAAAACGAACATATATATATATTTTATTTTTTTAATTTAAAAATTTTATTTTTCCTTTTATTGATCCCAGTGGAAGTCAACTGCACCATGAGATGAAGACCTTGCAGTCAGTTAACCCCTGAGCTCTGGTAGGGATAAACAGACATCATTTTCCCAGATTTATACTTCTATTTTCACCTCACTATACAACAAACAAGCCCAGACATCTAGCCCCTCTCGCCATCACCAATGACAACATAGCAATCTTGAACAAACACAAAAATCTCTCTATTCTGGAAAAAAATTCAGGACAGAGAAAAGTCACTGGAGTGCAGATTACATATAAGAAAGGTAAAATTGACCCCCCCCCCCCCCCCAGCCGTACACACTAACACATACCAACACATACACAAACACAAACCCACACACTCTCCCCGAGGCCAACTCACCATGATACACTCATCTAGCAGCGTGGGGAACTCATTCACGATCACACACACACACATGCATGCACACACACACACACACACACACACACACACACACACAAACACACACACACACACAAACACACACACACACACACACACACACACACACATTTCCCCCAGGTCAACTCACCATGATACACTCATCCAGCAGCGTTGGGAACTCATTCACAATCACACTCTGTATGTTGGGGCAGCCGTTGGCCAGGTACTGGAAGCCTTGAGGTGTGATCTGACCACACAAGAATAATAATAATAATAATAATAATAATAATAATAATAATAATAATAATAATAATAATAATAACAATAACAATAATAATAATAATAATAATAATAATAATAATAATAATAATAATAATATAAATATAATGATAACAATATCGACAATAAAATAAATAAAATAATTTTAAAATAAAAAAAATAAAAAAATAATAATAATATAACAATAACAATAATAATGATAATAATAGTAGCAGTAGTAGATAGCATTTATATAGCGCTCTATCCCATACAGGTATTGCTCTATGATGTCTATGCAACACAGTGGCCACCAGCAATGGCGTGTTTGCGCAAATGTTCTGAATGGAGTAATATTGTGTATTTATATATATGTATTTATGTATGCATTTATGTATGTACTTACGTATATGTATGTATGCATTTATAATTATGTATTTATGTATCATGTGTGTTTATCGTTGCAACCCAAATTTCCACACAGGGATTAATAAAATCATCATCATCATCATCGCCTTTCACCCCTGGCAGGGTATAGGCCACATACAAGCTCCTTCCATTTATCTCTGTCTAGGGCGATCAATAAAACGTAATCTATTTATTTTCTGTATTCGAAGATGTCTGACCTGTAGACAGCCGGACATGTCCAGGTACTGAAGTTTCTGGTGACACTTGCCCGAGGCGAGGTAGAGAAGGCCGCGATCGGTGAACTTGGCACAGAAGGCCAGGCTTAGGTACTGGAGGTTCATACAATACCTGGGAGGGGGGGGGGGATAAAGACACATAGGAGGGTTGTGGGGGGGGGGGGGGGGGTTGTTTTACTTTAGTTTCAGTAAGAGTTTTGAAGCACAGATAGGTCATATAAGTGCTGAAGATTAGAGGTTTTACTCGAGAGTAACATACACAGAAAAGAAGGACGACAAATGTTTGATTGGAAAGAAAAGGAAAACCAAACCAGAGCACGCACCAACCACCCACAAAGTTTGTTTGTTTGTTTGGTAGACAAACTTACAGTGACAACTAATCATCCAGTTCAGTAACGAGGATTATGCTGACACAAAAGCTGTCATTCAGAACTGGGGAAAAGAAAGACAGATAGATCATATACAAACAGTAAAGAGAAATAAAAGAAGTAGGACCTATCATAAGTAGCACACTCCAACCACCCACCCAAAACAAAACTCTGTGTTTGGAAGACCCACTCACTTGTTGATGGCCCTGAGACTGGCGTCTGTCAGGTTGGTATGGGCGATGTTCAGGTACAGAAGAATCTTACAGCCTTTGACCACAACCTTGAGCGTCTCGTCCTGGAGAAAAGAAAAGAAGTATTGGGATCACCAACTCATGAAAAACACTAGTTCATGAAAAACAAAGGACGTCTGGGGGTGCGGGGTGGGGGCAAAAGTAACAAAATAAGAGAAACAATTGAAGATTACATTCCAGGGTACAAAGCTTATATTCAAACTCACTCTTGAAACAAATGTGAAGCGTGCTGAAAAACTGAGTTACTTCTCGGAGCCTTATGACACATCACGCTTACCACTTTGCCATCACAAGGCTCAGATATAATAAAATCTCTTGCCATCCAAGGCAAAGGCATTTTGGAGAAAATACAAAGAAACTGGGCGGTAAACATCATCGATCGGTGAGATGAGACAGCAAAGAGTTAAAGGTGAATTTTTACAATTTATAAGTATGAAATAATAAAAGGCATAATATAGTTAAAGAATATATGGCATTAATAGAAAATATACAAATTTGACCCTAGTGTCGATTTTTGGCTAGTATCTCCATTTTTGGAATGTGAGAAGTAACTCATTTTGTCAGCACACCTCACAAATTTATTTTCACAGCTTCCTTGCACTTAACGGATCATAAAAAAACAAATATTGTCATCATGTTTCCATCTTTTCATTCTTTTTTTGTTCTTTTTTTCGTAAGAGTTTTAGGGCACTTGCAACACAATAAGGTAATATACGCGCCGAAGATTAGAGGTGTTACAAGAGAGTAACAAACACCAAAAAAAAGGAGGGGAGATAAAGATGCTAGATGTTTGATAGGAAAGAAGGAGCAAACCACACCAGAGCACCCGCCAACGGCCCACTTTCATTCTTCGACTCACATCAATACCAGTGCACTCTGACAGGTTGAGATCCTGCAGGTTCCGACATTCACTGACGCTGATGAAAGTAGGTCGCGTCAGATGGTGACAGGTCCTCAGGTTCAGGTGGATGAGGTACGGCCGAGCCTTAAACAACAGTCGTGTGGCCACTTTGTCTGTCACTCTGTGAGAGAGAGATGTCGCCAGGGAATGAGACGCAAAGATTCACTCAGATTCTTGATTGGGAAAGTGTGCCCTGTCGAGTTTTTTTAGGGTTTTTTTAATAGTTTTTTCCCCTCTTTCCTTTTTTTAGTAATTAAAGGGTTTTTTTACATTTTGAAAGTTTGCATACAAATTGGATGATCTCTTTAATAATGCTTGAAATGTGACCCTCTCTCTCTCTCTCTCTCTCTCTCTCTCTCTCTCTCTCTCTCTCTCTCTCTTTCTCTTGCTTCTCTCCCTCTCCCTTTTTCTCTCCCTCTCCCTCTCTCTCTTTCTCTTGCCTCTCTCCCTCTCTCTCCCTCTCTCTCTCTATTTTTTCTCTTGCTTCTCTCCCTCTCATCCTCTCTCTGTCTCCCTCTCTCCTTCTCTCCCTCTATCTCCCTATTCTTTCTCTCTCCCTCTTTCTCTTGCCTCTCCCCCCATCTCTCTCCCCCTCTCTCCCTCTCCCTCTCTCTTTCTTTCTCTCACTTCCTGACCCCGACAGATGAAAACTGAAGCCACACTGTCGATGAATAGCCGCGCTAATCCCTCCTGACTGTGTGCTTGGCTCGGGCTGATCAGAGCGCTGCCATAATGATGACACAGCACCATCAGATCTAATCTAGATCTAGAGAAACAAACTGTTGCAGGTTGTCACAGCCGTAGACATGTTGAACTTTTCGCTCTTTGTCTTTAGTCTTAGGCCGTGGACGTGGGTGGTTGGCGGCTGCTCTGGTTTTAGTTTCCTAGTTTGCTCACAACTGCAGACTTGAACTTTGTGCGCTTAGAACAGCCGTAGACTTGTTGAACTTTTCGCTCTTTGTCTTAGTCTTAGACCGTGGAAGTGGGTGGGCGGTTGGCGGGTGCTCCGCCTGGTGTAGTTTGCTTGCTCCTTCTTTCCTATCAAAGATCTGTCGTCCTTGTCTCTCCTCCTTTTTTGTGTTTGTTACTCTCTTGTAACACCACCTATAATCTTCGGCTCTCATAATATGACCTTATATCATCGTGTTGCAAGTGCCGTAAAACCTTTACAAAAACAAAAAGACCGTGGATGATTGGAGAGCGCCACTGGTAGGTTCTACTTCTTTTCTTTCCACACGTTGTTTCTTCTGTGTATCTGTCTTACAAACATCTTATATTGCCCCTCTCCTCGTCCTCCTTTCCATGGACGTTACAGTGGGTGGTTGGCGGGTGCTCTGTTGGGGTTTGCTCCTTCTTTCGTATTAAACACCTATCTTCCTTATCTCCCCTCGTTCTTTTAGGTTTGTTACTCTCTTGTAACACCTCTAATCTTCTGGCGCTCATATGACCTTATGCAGTAAAACCCCTACTAGAACTAATGGACGTTACTCGCCAGTAGGAGCACCTCTCAACCTCTGCCTTATATCATGACATATTATGTGTGTTGCGAGTCTTGCAATACGATAATGTCATACAAGTGTCGTAGAATAGAGATATAACGAGAGAG